CTCCCACCCCCCAGCCCTCTTTCCCAAGCTACCCCGCATCCCCACATCCCCCAAATTGAGGTCTCCCATGGGGAGTCAGCAGAGCCCAGCACACTGAGCCTAGGCAGGTCCAAGCCCCTTCCCACTGCACCAAGGCTGTGCAAGGCGTCACACCACAGGCACTAGGTTCCAGAAGTCTGCCCATAGACCAGGGACAGATCCCGATCCCCCTGCCTGGGGAGCACCCCCTTTCTAAGGAATGAAGAGAGGCACAGTTGTCTCCTTGTCCCTAGAGGACACCTCTCAAGATCCCAGTGAGTGCCTGAAGCCATGGGGGGGGGGCAAACCTTGTGTATACTTTCCTCTTCACACACACACACACACACATCTCTGCAACAAAGTTTAACTTACAAATTAGGTCCTTAAGAGCCCACACCAAAATAAGGCAGAATAACAAGAGGACCTCACCATAGATAATGAGCAGACAATGTGTCCAAAATGGACCAGAGTCAGCAAGAAGACTCCCATCCTGGGTAGGACGAAGATGGCGGGAGATCTTTCTGTGTTGCGCAGAGCAGCATGGAGGTTAAAACTGATGGGCTATTTATTTCTGGAACTTTCTACTTAATGTTATTTTTGGGTAACTAAAAGCATAAAAAGCAAAAGCAGGGATACAAGGGGGCTCCTGTACAGCCACATGGCATCCATGGCAAGATCTGCTAAGGTCTGGGGAAAGACCAAAAGCATGAAGCCAAGGACGATCAGAAGAGGCTGAGGGGAGCAAGCAGGCTGTCCCCTACATGCCTTATTTCCCTCTGTGATATGAGGAAAGCTAGCTTCTGGGCTGCGTGACAGGCTGGAGTTCAAAGGGTCTGCCCAGTGTGAAGGTGGGTAGATAGGACAATAAGCCAGACCACAGGCAGATTTGCCTACCTTGGTCTCTGCCCACTGATCAGGAGGTGTGGGAGGAACCGCCACCCAGGGCTCCACTTCTCCCTGGGACAGGATCAGGCTGACTGCACTTGCATCACTGCAGGGCCCCCAAAGGCTGGGGGAGGGACTGAGAGGACTGGGAGAAAAGGTCCATAGTCCAAGCCTCTGAGGGTGGGGTGGAGGTGGGGCTCCTGGGCCAAGGAAGTAGAAGTACCCAGAACGCAGCCCGAAGACATATCCACATGCCTGACCCAGCCACTACCGAGGCCACAGTGTCTAGTCTGGGGCAGTTCGCCCATGAGGCCATCCAGACCAAGCTTATAACTGCCTCTGGGCTGGAGCCAGTTCCAATACAGAGCAGCAAAGAAGGATCGCTGTCCAGGAACTAGAAATGGGGCTGTGCAGCAAATATCCACAGGTCCTTCAAGGCCCAGACAGAGTGAAAGGGTTGGTCTGCCCCGCTATGCAGACATAAGGCCTGTGCGTAGCCAGGCCATGTTCCCTCTCCTACATGGAAAAGTCAGCAAAGCAGGCAGGCCATGGCTTAAGGTTGTGTGCCTCAGATGGACGTTTCTGCCTGCTCACCCTCAGACCCTGGACAGTAGCCCCCACTTTTATCCAGAAAGGTCACGGTATTGAATGATGTTTGTGCCTGGCCCAAGGCCAGAGCACCAGGCACCAGCTCCCACAGCAGGCGGAGGTGATGGTCTAGCTAGCTCAGGAGAAACACTTGGGCAGAATCCTTCGACTGTCCTGCCCCAGCCCTGCTGGACTCCGGGGGAGCGGCTAGCCTCCTGCCTGGGAGGAAGTACACAGTCCTGGGAGACCACACCCAAGAGGATGCAGCGGGCGTGTGACAGTGCTTCAAGGGACATGGGCTCTGGGGTGGCATGGAGGCTGGAGGCAGTGGACCTATGCAGGACCCTGCAGTCACATGCTCGGTTCATGGCGGGACGGCTATCTGCAGCACATGACGCCCCAGGCACAGAGACGGACTAGCACAGGAAAGCTCTGTGTGTGGAAACAGCAGAGCTGAAACACTTTTGCACGAGTTTGTGCAATCTTCCAGTTCCATAATCGGGGTTCTGCCTGAGGGACACGCCCCTAGGCGAGCAGTGCTGGGCTGACCTCCCCCCACCCCCACTGTTCTGGAACATGGGGTTGCAAGGCCTTTGACACCATTTCACCACCACTCAGGGGTCCCCCTTGGGCTCTCTTTCCAATACCCTTCTTAACCATTGCCTCTTAACGATGTTCTTTCTATATCTTCGTCTTATATTTCCCACAGTCGTAGAATTATTTTACGTGTCAAGGCGGTGGACTTGGTGTACGATAGGCAAACGCTGTACTGTAGCTCAGCCATGCCCCCAGCCCTGTTTTCACTTGGAAGTTTGAGACCAGAGTCTCGTTGGGTTGTCCAGGCAGGCCATGAACTCAGTGTCGCCTAGGCAGACCTTGAATTTGCATCTTCTTATCTTGGCCCTGCAACGACATTGTTTTGAGAACCAGGCATGGTGACACATAACCTGTAACCCAGGCAGCTGGGAGGCAGGAAGAATAGGAGTTCAAGGCCAGCCTTAAGTTCTAAAGGCCGGCCTGAGCTGCAGAGTCAGACAGTTGCAGCATGGGAGAGCCTGAGCACGCACTCAGTTTTTAACTTGATGGTTTACAGTTGATGTTCTAAAAGCTTGTGATCTGATGCTCTGTGGGTGCGATGGGACCCCATCCTTCCTCAGGGAAACTGGGAAATCCAGACTGCAAGGGTCCCAGTGCCAAGTGCTGTAGCAGAGTGCCCTTCCAGGTGGAAAAACTCCATGGTCATCAATGGCCAGCACCCCTCCCCACCCCCATCCCCTCCTCTTTTCCCACCTATGATGGCGAATCCAGTCAACTCACAGCAGCGGTGGGTGTGTGGGGTCTGCCATCAACGGCCCTCAATGCTGCGTCTCTTTCAGCTGAAGATGATTCTCATAAAATGCTGTGATATCTCCAACGAAGTCCGTCCCATGGAGGTGGCAGAACCATGGGTGGATTGTTTACTGGAAGAATATTTCATGCAGGTAAGAGACACTGAACTGTGAGCGCTCCTTCCCGCTATGTGGGCGGGGCTGCATCGGAAAGAGCCCACCAGGGTGATTGGCATATCCATCCCACACCCCAGCAGCCTCCACATCACTGACTGTGTAGACATACAGCAGAAACAACATAGGCTGTAATATAGATGTGGGACCATAGCCACCAGGAAAGAAAGGGGGGGACAAGGGGTGATTAAACTGCCACTCATTGCCACTCACAGAGCCACTTTTAGAAGCAGACTCAAGAAATGTGGCTCTGAGTCAAGAAGCAAGACCTGAGGGGAGGGAGGACCCCTGTGGAAGGGTGAATGCAAACAAGATGGTCTTCATAGGATAGCTACAGGGAGATCCAGGCATGAAATGATGCAGACAAGGAGCTTTTGAGTGGAGCCTTGTAAACCATCTGTCTCTAGACCTGGTCCCTATGGCTCTGACCCGCTCATCTCGCCTTGGCTTGTGTGTAGCCCATTCACCGAGGGCTCTCTGTGTCCTCGCCATTGTACTGCTTTTGTGTGACCATGAGGATCACAGCTGGGCGGTGTGTCCTGCCCTTCCCCTCAGAACAGGGCTGCTCTGTGTGCCCGAGTCCATGGGCCTCTGTGCCTTTCATGTCACCGTCCCTCTGTTCCCTGCAGAGTGACCGCGAGAAATCGGAAGGCCTTCCTGTGGCCCCGTTCATGGACAGAGACAAAGTGACCAAAGCGACGGCCCAGATTGGCTTCATCAAGTTTGTCCTGATCCCAATGTTTGAAACAGTGACCAAGGTGAGCGGTCCCACCGGTGGTACAGCAGCCGTCGACACACGGGGGCACACGTGCATGCGTGTGTGTGCACATTTCGGGAGTATGCACTGTGTATGCAGGAGCGCACACATGAACCCTCTACAGCTTCATCCTCTGCTGTCACGGTGACGGTTGCCTGGCAGCCACTCCTCCTGCTGTGTCCAGTTCCACCCCCTCCGGTGCTCTTCAAAGAGCTCCATGTGTGACTACCGGCAGGCCCTCGGGGCCCACTTTGCCCATCTCTGCCAGCCTTAAAGACCCGGCCAGCTGTACCAGCCGTTGGCTCTCCTGTCCTTCCAGGCCTCACCTTAAAGGAGCACCTGGAATTGGTGCCTGGGGCTGGGGAACCCACCTCTGTGCCTCCACCTCCCAAGCCCCAGAGCTGCCCACACATCCTGCCTAAGGCCACCACTTCCAGCCCCCGGGGTCCCAAACACACACTTACCTCTCGCCAACCCATTTGTCTCACCCCACCTCCTGCCCATCATTCTCCGGGTGTCTCAGAGCCACCCACCTCCTTTTCATTCCCATGACCACCACCAGGAATTTTGTCAGGTCCGTCCCCTACATAAGATCCTCTGAGGCCATACCTACCCCTTGTCTTACTGGAAGGAGTGGGGGGCAAGAGGAGTTAGTAGGCTTTCTGGGGTCCTCTGAGAAATTATAGGAGGGAGAATCTGTGCCAGAGACAGAAATGGGAGATGGGTGGGTCTGTTGGGTCTGTGCCAGGGTCTCCAGGACTTGGAACTGGCCAGGAGATTCACACCCCATCACCTTGGGTTTCTCTGAAGGCCTTGATTTGGGGCCACTGGGAAGTGAGACCCCTGGGGCTCCCAGGTACCCCAAGCTGTCCTCCAGTGTTCTCTGCAGCTTAACAATGGCGGGCTGACCTTGGGCCCTCCCCTCCCCAGCTCTTTCCCATTGTCGAGGAGACCATGCTACGGCCACTCTGGGAGTCTCGAGAACACTATGAGGAGCTGAAGCAGATGGACGACGCCATGAAGGAGGTAAAGGCAGTGCCGAGGACACAGGCAGGCGAGTCGGGGACTCGCAGCCAGGCTGTACAAAGGGCGGGCACCAGAGCCAAGCTCAGTGAGACAAGGGGTCTCGAAAAGCAGAGTCTCTTCCCAGAGAAGGGCAGTGCTTTCCTGTGCTGGCCGATGAGAGCCAGCACACAGCTGTGTGAGCCTGGAGAACAAACCACTGTGCATCACAGCCTCTACAGTGTCTCTTAGCACCTCCCTGGCCCCTGTCCTCCTCCAGGCCAGGATGCCTGTTCAGTGATGGCCTCATTGAAAAAAGACATAAGAACAAAGCAAGCGCCCAGGTCCATGCTTTCAGACTCAGAGCACACAGGGCAGCTCAGCTACTCCTGTGGTCCAGGGGATGGAGAGGTTCTAGGACCCTGGGGATGCTGGATCTCAGGAGAGAGTAGGAGCCTCTCTACTCTTGGCACAGATTCCTGTGAGCAATTCAGCTTTTTGTTGTTGTTGTTGTTGTTGTTGTTGGAGCCCGTGTGAACATCTCTTCTTCCAGAAGCGCAGACACTAAGAACTCAGTCCATGTCTCCTGCTTGATGTGGCTGCCGGGTGCAGTCTTTCTCTACCCACAATACCCCCTGCTCCTACCAGGACACCCATGCACCCAGAAAAGCTTCCCTGCTCCTTATACACTCCAGACCTCTCCTTGGCCACTGCGACCTCACCACCCAAGATGCCCCCCATGCTCTCATTTCCTGCTCAGTACCCATCCATCCAAGCTCCCCGGTAATAGAGGGGCCTGTATCCATCTTTTCTGCCTTCTTTCCCAGATGTGGCCTGGTACTGGTCACATCTCCCTCAGCCACATCTTCCAATGCACACCCCCAGTATACATGTCACAGTCACAAATATATGGCAAAAGCATTTAAGTTGACTGAAAGCACAGACCAGCAATCCTGAGTCCCCTGCCAGGAAGTCACAAGATGCCAGCTCTGAAAATCTAAAAGGCTAAGGGTGAACCTGTACACACCAAAGGGCATTCCCAGTCCAGACTCCAATGGGAAGGCTGCAAAGGCCTCTGCCACCATGGCCATCCCATTAGCCATCGCTCTGGGGGACCTGAGTCTTCAGTCCTACATTCCAATGCCCAGTGGGAATGCCAGGTCTCTCCAGGATGCCATCCTGGCCCTAGAGAAGGAGGCGTGAAAAAGATGTGCTAGCACTGAGCCTGAAACAGGAACTCGACCCCCAGGCCTGGGGCTGTGGGCCATGGCCGACTTGTCCAGACATTGCTGACCAGGATGATGTCGTGGGTTGTAAGCAGGTCACAAGCACCCAGGCTGTATCTGGAAAATCTGGAAAGCACATGTATATGTGGGCAGCCATCTTTTGCATTGGAGAGTGTCTGAGTGTCTTCAGGCGGCCAACGCCCCCTGAGACAAGAGGCTGCTTGAGCTGGCCTGCTGCCTCCAGGACTGACTTTGGCCTTTGCTCTCTTTAGTTACAGAAGAAGACAGACAGCTTGACAACTGGGGGCCCCGAAAACACCACAGAGAAGAACAGAGATACAAAAAAGAGTGAAGGCCACTCTCCTCCAAACTGATATCTCAATGTGTACAGTAAGTGGGCG